TTTCTCTTTTTTCCTTTGCAAGTGGCAGATAGGCTTACCATATTGCATCGTAATACTCGGCGGTGAGTTTACTGGCTGTGCTTTCATAGTATGACAGAAGTGGTCTGTCTTGTTGCGTCGTTTCGCAGTCGACGCCCGAGTCAATCACCATGGCCGTGCCCGTCTGTTCCTCAAGCCGCTCACACTCGCGTAGGACCCAGCTGCCCACAGCCTCCTTGATCACCAGCCCCGGAGTAGCTAGACCCAGTAGCAATACTCCTTGCATGGGAGACGGGGGCCTCAACACCGGAGGCGTCACAGAGCGTAGGTATAGAGGCAGAGAGCCCGCCGAGGTTTCTATTGGTGCCAGACGCAACAAATCATCGGCACTGAGGCCCTTGCGGCGCAGATATGTCTCGGTATTGACGCGGCGGCCATTGCGCACGGCAATGCTGCCTTTGCCCACGGCATTGCGTCGGCATTGCGAGCGCAAAATTGCGGCCACGTCGGCGGCGCGGTTGTTCTTGAACAGCTTCCATCGCTTCAGCTGAGTCTTGTACATCTTGGTCCTAGCGATCCGTGAAATACTCGGAGTCAGTGCACATCCCGCGAGATTCTCCATGTATGAAGAAACTGGTCCGAAAATGACAGTATAGAGAAGCAGGCATAATATTCGAACATCGACTCGCTTGCGATTGGCGGTTTCTGGGATCGGTACTGATCGCCTCTTGTATTTTGAAAGACGGGCGAAGTGTGATTCATCGATGTGAAGCGGAGAAAAGAATTCCTTACGTAGCCGTGAAGCCTCTCTGGCTCATGATACCCATAACAAATTGCAACGTCCTGTCCTCATCTATATAGAGCCTTCGAATTTCAGCCCTCTGTACGTCCCATTCTGCCGATGTATGATGTTGAGGATGAGACATTGTTCTGTGAATGAGGAGATGCAAGATGATATCTGGCACTCGACAATTGAGAAAATGGGTCGACTGGGTTCAGACTCTGCTCAGCACCGGGTTGTGCCTCTTCCAAAACTCCGTGCCAACAGACCATGAACCACAAGGAAAAAGGAAAAAGAAGGATGGATCAAGGTAGTGATTGAAGCATTGAGAATCGAGAGCCTTCGCCGAGGCGATTTGTTTCTTGATTATATCCCGTTCACCTCGCTGGCCGGCGAACTCCTTGGCAGGGTGGTAGCCTTACCGGAGCAATAGTTGCCCATCTGACACTATTATGCCAACGGGATTGGCTGGAATGATTGGGTATGCTGCGGGCCTATGCGGTCATTGCGCTGCGCCACTGGCAAAAGTTCCCCCGTAATGTCGATATTTCCGTCACTATTACTTGAATAAACAAATAACACCATCCTGGTCCAGTATTCTCGCCCTTTGCAGTAGTAGAACAAACATGCTTTTCCCAAGGAAATGATAATTATTATAATAATGATATGTTCCACTGGTCTGTGGCCAATGCAGTGTCCTTCATCCATTTGTCGACCTAATTGACTTAGTCATTGTATCTCGCGGGCCGTTTCCTAACGCGACTCCGACTGATCAAATCAGTACTGCTAGTGTCACTTTCATCGTCAAAGCTCTTGTCGACTCTAGATCGAGTAACTTTGTTACTGCCGCTTTTACCTCTCTTGTTAGTCGCCGCAGCTCCGTCTTGCGGTAACCTTTTGGGTCTGCCTCTCTTCTTTGGTCCGGGCTGAGATGTTTGACCTGGAGAAGTAGTCTCTGTTTGCTCATCATTCTCCATCGGTTGGAAGAATTGATTAGTCGTAGGCGCATTATCAGACGATCGCAATATCTGGGCTCGACTGAAGAGCCTCCGTGTGCGGGAGGGAGTCTCCACGTCAACTGCAGGAGGAGAGGCCGCGACACGGCGCCGAGAGCGAGGGCCACTTCCTCGGCGCGGAGTTTGCATCTCCTCGCCCGCGCGTTCTGCCCCATCATCGCCCTCATGATCTGCTTCGTCCTCACCGTCATGGTCCACCTCATCCATCATGTCAGAATCGAGTACTGCAAATGACTTCTTAGGTCTGCGACCCCGTTTCTGACGCCTTGCCTCTCGAGGTTCATCAATGCGTTCCTCGATCCCTCCACGCAGGTCTTGTTCATGAGCCTCGTTGTTGGCTTTCTGGCTATCTAGCAGCTGCTTCGTGAGGTTGGGAAATTCTTTTCCATAGTTGAAGAAAAGCTCTTCTCCGGTCTTGATATCTCGTTGAGCGGTAAACTTGATGCGATACTCTCCACCGACATAGAGAATCTGGGGCATGATGTTGCCATCGTCTTGATGATTGATGTATCTGCTAAGATTTCCATAAATGGCTGCATCAACCCATGTGCCCTCCTGCTCGAGAAGAGTGAAGAGATACGATGATTGCTGTTGCTCATCAAAGATATCACCGCGTCTTGCTTCACGGCGAACTCCTTCATCTTGGGAGATCAGCTCCCCGACATACTCAATCACGAAGTCATCTTGTCGAATATCCTCTGCTGTGAAAAGTCCATAGCCACAGCCCTCAATCGTTGATTTGCCAGGGAGAAGCGATTTGAACTTGCCACGTTGTAACGCGCAGTTCTGGCAGCCATGCGTGTATAACCAATCATTTTTGGCATTTCTTGGATCTGCCCGCTCGGTTGCTCCACAGCTATTGCACAGATTTGGATCGCACTCGCGGTTGAGCTGGACACATATGCAAGGCTTCTCTCCTTTCTCTCCCTTCTGTCGAGGCAAGCAACTTTGGCCAAACGAATGGCAGGCGCAGCCAGTGAACTTGATGGCACATGTCTCAGCTGTACAATGGCAGAAGCGGTCGCACATGAGGTTGTTTCTTGCACAACCGCAGTTCTCTCTTGTGCAAGGTCCCTCGTGGTTGCAAGGATCAAAGTGCTCTTTCATCTGGTGCTCATGCGTCATGGTCTGCTCTTGCCAATCGCCTATAAGCACCTTTTTATGTCTGTCGTACCAGGCAACTGGCTTGGGCCTTCTCGGAGACTTGGGTAATGGTTTAGGCATATGTAGGTTCAGCATTTCCATCTGTCGATTCACATCCCAGCATGGTCTGTTTATGAAGGTGGCAGTCAAGCACTGAGCCGGCATGCTGGTATCGCAAAGTAACGCGATGGCTGTCCTAAGTAGCGCAGTCTCCTTGCCACTCCAACCATTTGTTTGGATGTCCGGGCGCTTATTGAGATAACAATCTTCGCTGCAGGGTGTTTGTGGCAGTCCCTGTGTAGCTCCGCCAGCAGTTGCCTTTTTGCGGATAAGCGAGGTAAGACCAGCGGCTTCTACGGAGAACCGTTGGCGCTCATTGTCCAAACCGTACTCCCCATGCTCGCAAGAGTAGCTGCAGCACACCACGCATCCAAGAAGTGCATGCGTCTCCAGAAGTGACTCTACACTTGTGCCCTCTTCGATATGTCTGACTTGACTCGGTGTGTCCTTGAGATTCTTCTTGGAGTCGACAACAGAGTCCACAGAGCTGTCAAGGAGCAGGACATCTCGGAGGGACACGGCTCCTTCTTCCCACGCGTTTTGGTCGTTGAACACTTTATCAAATGCCTCAGTAAACAAGCTGACCGCCTTGGAAAGATGTGAATCACTCCCATCGCCGTAGGAATGAAGGATGCTTGACTTTTGTTGAGGCGTCACAGCATTTGTTTGGCTCGCCATGTGTTGAATCAGCGCTGCTTTCGTGCAGCCATCGATGGAGAGCTTCCTCAGCCAGGTCTCAAGATGGAGCAGTAGAGTAGTCGCTCGTTCCTTTTGGAAAGTTTTCCGCACCTTGTCCTGTCGACTTGATGTTTGAAAACCGGAAATCTTGTCCATACTTTCTAACTCCTTGAGCCATAATCTGTACTTGGATTCCTCATGGTCTGCCAAGTCTCGCAAGTGAGGTACAAAACCCAACATTGTGTTCGGTGACAATATGTTCTTGGATATCTCAACATAGTGGAAGTCGTATTTCGGAACTGCTTCCTTGTTCGTTTTTATGCCCGTGACCTGGTAATGTTCACGCTTCTCTTGCTTTCCCGTGCGACCTGGGCCAATTTGCTGTCCTCATTTAGTGCTCGTCTTTAGGGGGAAGAAAAAACATGAGAGGGCTGGGAGTGCATACCTTAGCCTTTAGCTTGAGGGTGTCCTTGCCAGCCTCAACGGGAATTGGCTGCATATCAGAGAACCAATTTTTGGTAGGAGTGTACACGTTTTGGGGGGTCGCCTCTCTCCAAGAGGTTAAAAGAAGTCGATTTGTGCGCCTCGCACTTTGAATCCCGATATCGTTGGAAAGCCCACGCAATGCCTCCTCTATTTGAGGCACTGTCCATTCCAGTCTTCGCGGCGTCTGATGCGTGACGCGTTTCTGGGATGAGTGCACTGGAATCTGAAATGAAGACATGCCCTCTTGGGAGAATCTGGGCGCGCTTTTGTTGTTTGTCCTAGCTGTGGAGGTCATCGAGGGCATGTGATCCCTAGGATTCTCCCTTGGAGTGCTACTTGGTTCCGTGCCCGCGTGGCGAAGCATTTGAGCATGTTCGCTCGGGCCAGGAAACAATAGATTTCGACCCAATATGGGTGGGTTGATGATCCCACGCGTATACGAGCCAGGCTGTAATGCTCGAACAGATTGGTTCGGAGGTTTTGGTAGTATGCGACTGCTAGCGACCGCATCCGATTCGTCCGACGTGAAGCCGGTCAGATCGATGGGCTCTTGGAGAGTCCTGCCACTGCGATTCATCGTCACGATGCAAAACCTCGCGCGGACTATACAATTCAGGATGAATTCCTTGCGTGGATGTCAACCAAGCCAGGTAGGTATTAATGGCACAAATGCTTTCTATGAAACACAGGGCCAAGTAGACTACTCCCGTTTGCTACCGGACTGGAGATCGCGCAATCATCGTCGAACTCGGCAAAGGAAAGAAAGAAATCCTTCTGCTCTCGTGGATAGACAGCAACGGAGATGATCGCATGTGGTGAGATGGGATTGGTGACCGTTTGGGGGGAATGATTGTTGGAAATGTGAGAGATGAGGATCTAATACGAGTGAAGTGAAAATGCCGTTCATGTACGCGTTTTAAATGAATTCGCAGATTTGCTGTCATTGGTCACGGTACCATCCATCTCGAAATTGATAGATGCACTATACACATAACGAACAGCAAGGGAAGGGAAAGAAAATATTAATCGGATGGGTGTGAAAAGCGACTCGAGTATTTCTTCTCAACGTCCCTTCCCATGGGGGCGATGGTTTGGAGGTGCAAGGCGAAAGGCGCGTCGCCGTTGACGCATGCGCCTCAAACGTATGCAACTTGCTTTTCAAGCCACATTTCCATGTGGCGGTGCACCCAGTGCCATTATTTATGCAATCCAATCACGCTGCCTGTCGCCCAGGATCGTTACTCACAGACTGTGTGTAGTGTAGGAGGTACCTTCTGTTCCACAGATCTAGCTCCGCTCCCCATCTTCCGATCTCTCAAAGGTAATACGGTGGTCCCAGGCAATTGATGAACTCTCAGCAGAACAATCGCGGCCATACATGATCGAGTTGTGGGAACAGTAAGCTGCAAACCAGTCGCTCCAATGTATAGACATGCCAAGGTATTGAGACATACATGGGAAAGCTTATGGTTATACATAACACAGACCATGTCCAATTGCTTGATGACGTCGTGTGCTACCTGAATTGACTATTCGTCAGTTCGTCTGCTCGGTGGACTGAGACATTCGAGCTTCCTTTGATTTACGCGCGGACCCAGACCGAGGTAGGTTTAGAGGGTAGCTCTGTCAGTGTTTAGTGGCTCTTACCCTGAAATACAAACAGTTCATTGCTGTTAAGGATCCCACCCATCGCTTGGCATCTGGCCCACGTATTGTTTTGATGCCCCAATGTGAAATCGGTTGCCCAGCAGATCAGACCCTTCTCTCCGCCAGATGAGGCATAGCATTATTGCCGCTTTAAGTACGGAATATACTTGCCTACCTAGCACCACTACCATTCAAGTTTCCAGTCGATCTTATTCCACATTTTACGGTACCTGAGATAGCTTGAACGACATGAACTCTGAATGGATGAATGAGCTGGTCTGTACAGAGTATCTTAACAAGCCAGTCTTGCCTAGAATTGATACTTGGGCCCGTGCACTTTGTTGACTCTGGGAAGACGATCGAATTGACAGATTGAACTCCTGGTCTATTCAATGCATGTATGCCAGTCAAGGTGCTTGATACTTTTCGTTGTTTTAATCGACACAGGCAATGTCCTATGCTGCTGGCAAACCATGTGTACGAGTGGAAATTCATCGCCTGAATCTTGAATTAATATAAGAATACCCTTAATGTCGTACTCGTGCTGGGTCCACCCCAGCGCTCCCAACACGGCCATTACCCAGGTACACAGAACAGCCCTGGTCCCAGCCGGGGGGTTATACACCTTTTACCCATCCGAGTTATCTATCAGAGGGGTCCGCCAGTTTGTAGTCGTACGTGAGCAGCTGAAGCCGTACGCACATCGATAGATTCACGATTCCGTTTGTTATGCCACTTGAGGCCAACAAGACAAGATAGCATCAGGTCGTTTTGCCCCTAGAGGAGTTACAATACCTTTACGATTCAAACACATATTACAACAGTGAACTCGTCACCTACTGAGCCTGTGAGTTGAGATTTATATGAACATGTCACGTTCATGGGGAAACGCAAGTTCATGCCAGAACTGATTCAGAGTTTAGACTCTAAAGCAGCATGGCTAATGCAAGGTCCCTAGAGACGGATGTGGGTGCGGCATTGCTCACCGGGATCAGTCTAATCACAAACTCGGGATGTCAAAGTGCCCATCTCAGATCGAATGTGCCGGGGTGTCTCTCTGTTTACCTAGTCCCATATTGTGATAGATGCCGTTTCTGGTGATGCCATTGACAATTTCAGGAACGGGGGACGGCGCCCAGAAAGGTTCACTGCCCACTTGGCTCCCACCGGATTGGGCTCCTCCAGTTGCGCCGCTCCAACGCTAGTCCCTAACCGCATAAGTGATGACGTAGGAGTAACGAACGAGCAACATTGCTACGGTTCCCCCGACTATCCCGCCTGTAGACGCACAGAGAGCTGTACTTTGCAGTGGTCAGAAAGAGCCATAGGTTGGGGCCCAAACACCACACTGTTGTTTCGGCTTCAGAGTTCACCGACGCATCCCATCTGATCCCCCCGGCCAAAATTCTATTATAAAACTAGTCATCGCCCCGCGGAACCCCTTTGTTGACACCTGTTGCCCTTTGATGCCAGTTTCCATCGATACATAACCTCGTCTCCAACAGCGCACCCCGATCTCATAGCCATCTCCATTTATAACCCGCCGCCATCATGCATCGCACATACTCTATGCGCCAGACCAGGGCGCCCACAGCCTCGCAGATCCAGGTACGAGTGCCTTGCTGTCATGACGCCTATGTTCATGTCTTTTGCTGACACGCATTCTCACAGAGCCCTCCACCTCCGACCTCGAGCACCAAATCAGGCCGTCTTTTCGGCAAGAGCCCGTTCGGTACGATCATACCCCGGCTCCCAACTCAGCTCCATCCACTGACAATTTTGCAGGCCATGCACTCCGCGGCAAGGCTGCCGGTGCTTTCGGCCCTGATCTGGCCAAGAAACTCACACAGCTCGTTAAGATGGAGAAGAACGTGATGCGTAGTCTGGAACAGGTGGCACGCGAGCGCATGGAGGTCGCAGTATGTACCCTCTGGTTCCACAGCGCATTTGATGCTGCATACTAACATTGAGGCCTCAGCAACAACTATCCATCTGGGGAGAGGCCGGCGACGAAGACGTTTCAGATGTCACCGACAAGCTGGGTGTTCTTCTTTACGAAATTGGCGAACTGGAGGATCAGTACATCGACCGTTACGACCAATACCGTGTCACCATGAAGAGCATTAGAAACATTGAGGCATCGGTTCAACCAAGCAGAGATCGTATGTTACAAACCTTTTACGCAGTCGCTTTTTATGATTCTAACAATACTTCCGTTACAAGGCAAGCAGAAGATCACCGACCAGATTGCTCAGCTCAAGTACAAGGAGCCCAACTCGCCAAAGATTGTTGTGCTCGAGCAAGAGCTTGTCCGTGCCGAAGCCGAATCGCTCGTCGCCGAGGCCCAGTTGTCCAACATTACACGAGAGAAGGTCAAGGCCGCCTACACTTACCAGTTCGATGCCCTACGCGAGCACTGCGAGAAGGTTGCCATCATTGCCGGCTATGGAAAGCATTTGTTGGAACTGATCGATGATACTCCTGTCACTCCTGGCGAGACTCGCGCCGCCTACGACGGATACGAGGCTAGCAAAGCCATCATCCAGGACTGCGAGGATTCATTGACGAACTGGGTTACCTCAAATGCGGCCGTGTCCTCCAAGCTGTCTACTCGTGCCCGCACTCTGTCAACAAGGCGTCGCAACAACATCAAGGCTCGCTCCGAGGGTCTTGATTTGTCTGGCCAAGATGCTCCTCTCAACGACCGTGACTCGTGGGTAGCTGCTGGTGAGCACAAGGGCCACGAATACGACGACGAGGATGAGGACGAGCAGCTTGGCTCGGGCATGGACAGTGACGGAGGTCTCAATGGCGAACACCGCCGCGGCCGCACCGAAGTTGTGGCATAGAATGTTTCAACTTTTTAAACTTACGAGGCTCGAATGGTGATAATGTCTAATACCAAAGATACCAACGTCAAAACAGCCATTCACATATGACCAATAGAGCGAGTTGTTCTGGCGTGGTTGGGTGTTCAAGCGTCGCGAAAAAGGGATTTATCATCATTCCACGGAAGAAACGACTGGGCTGGGCAGGGCAACAAGACTTTTTTTGGTTCGAGCGTGGAGAGGAGTTCTGGATTCACGAGTTCTTCCAACTTTGGCAACGATTATGTAACATCTATATTTTTACGAAATATGCTCGTTCTGCAAGACTATGAAATTATGGCAATCATGCTTCTCAGCTTATGTACGATGCTCCTACCGTAGTGGCGTACAGGTGATCATCTCTACCATGTATATTGTATTTCGCCATGGTACACAAAGAAACCTGTTTCAAACTGATCGAGGATCACCTACAGAGTACTGAAATGTGCACACATTGTCGTGACCGCTTTATACCCGCGCTATATAATAGATGCTACTCCACCTCAGCCATCTCTAGACCTTTCCGGCAGACCCGGAGATGATTCAGACATGACGGACATTAATCTGGCCTTTGATTGTTCACTATTGGACTAACAAAGCGATTGGTAGCTTCCATTCAGACCGATTCTGCCGGCTTTCCGAACAAGCTCCGTCATTGCTGCCCGCTGTTGACGTTGGTTCGATTCTGGTACGACCTGTTTTTGTCATTGCTGCTTCTCTTGCAGGCCATGAGTTTCTAAAGACATGTGGCATGTGAAACCTGACTAGGCTTATCAGGAATTCATGGTATTACTTAGGCCGCTTTAGTATAGAGAAAGCTAAAGACACTGATATAATTCTAGCATTCGATGGCGATGAGTGAAATCTCAAAGTAGGATCTCGCATGACGCTTTATTCACTAATTGTAAATAAACCGGCGATTTGTTAAACTCGTGTAGTTGAAAAATAAAATAGCTGTAACCCCAATTGCTACGCTGGCTTGCGCAATCCCGGAACGCCTTCTATAAGTAATAGTTATACACAAGAGCCGGTCAATATACACCTTGCTGTTCAGAGCATGGAATTGTCGGCCCACGAACCCAATAAAGTGACTCGTGATCTAGGGGTCTATCCCGATAAATCCATCAAGACACATTTTAAAACGTTGCTGCGCTATGATTATGCCTCCGGCGACTTTCTGCGCAGGCTGCCAATGCGCCTCTTGATGCCCATGGACAGGCGCTTGCCGGTGGTGTTGCTGCGATCCAGGCCTGAACCCGTACCCCTAGGTGAGGAAGGGCCGGCGCCCGAGCTGTAGCTACGTTGGCGCACCATGACGTCCTCGCCCTTGTGACCTTGACTATTGGCTGTGCCGCTCGGTTGCATCTCGTAGACGCCTGTGCCCTCCATTCCTTCCATGCGGCCGTTGGTCTTAGCACGGCGGTCCATTGTGAAGCCTGGCTCGGCCTTGCCCTTGAGGTCCTCGGGGGAGTATTTCTGGGGGTGTTAGTGCCAATAGTCTTTGGTTGATGTCCATGGAAATAAATGCTCACATAGTCATAATCCTTCCACCTGCGATAAGGACCACCAGCAGCGTCCTCCTCCCTCATAAGGTCGGCTCCCTCCTCGTAGTTCATGGTGCGGCCGGCAAAATCTTCCTCGCCAGGCGGGATCACGGCAGTGCCGGAAAGAGGGACCTTTTTCCGCAGCGAGTCCTGGATGTGCTCTACCGGCGTGGCCTTGAGGGCCTCCATATTACTCTCCTTGACGGCCTCGACGGGAGCGTACTTGGGATCCTTATTCCGCGACGCCAGCGTAGCATCGTAGGGGCCGTCGTGGTGGTAGGCATAGCCGGTGATATTGTCAAGGGAGTCAATCTGGTCGGGACGAGTAAAGTTCTTCTTGCGCAGGTGAGGTGTCCTCTGGGCCGTCTTGGTTTCCTTTCGGATCTGGTCCAACGGTCTTGCTGCCATGGTACTCATGTTGCTGATTTGAGTTGTTGTCCTTGTATTACAAAGTTATAGTGATGTAGATGAAGAACACTTGAATCTTCAGGTTTTTTTATTTGAATTTGGTTTTTGATTCTTCGTCGAGAGAAAAACAGACAGAGAAATGTCACAGTTAGTGGAATTCGAGTGTGAGAGAGAAGAGGTAACAAGATGCGAGATGAGCAACGGAATCGATATAGTTTTTGTCTGCAGACTATGGGAGACAAGACGTAGCCCCAGCCTGCCCGCTGCCAGGGTTGAGCCTTTTCCAAGGGTCTTTTGGGCAGTCTGGGCCTTGCTATGATGTATGCAGGTTCGTCAGCTTCGGTGATCATCCGGTGAAATTGCCGCGAGCCAAACGTGTGATGCACAGAGGGGGACCCTTGAGATCTTCCCGTTATTTCCTGGCTGATAATAAACGTTGCGCCCAAAGGCAGGGGTATGATGTAATGCGGGTGGTGGGGTTCGGTGGCTCGGATGGCTTGGGAATTGGGTGACGCACTCCCCTGCACACACTAAAAAAAACGATGAAGATTAGGGTGTTTGTTTCGTTACCATTCAGCTGCAACCAGCAACTTGAATTCCGTCCCGTCCCTTCTGGTTTTCTTGACATTCCCGCGAGCCCGAGAGTCCATCCTTTTCATCCCTGGCATATGTGTTGCGCAGCTTGGCAGGGCGCAATATCACACTACGACATATGATACGGGCCTGACGGAAAGAATAATAATAATAATAATAATAATAAAAAAAAAAAAAAAGGTTCGAGACTTGTTTGCCCGACGATCCGGATCCAACCAGTGATGCAACCTGCTAAACAGCCCTGGTCCAAGGCACAAGGCTTCGTGAAAATAAACATGGGGTCAAATGGCTCGTTCATGTGATGGTGTACGTGTGAATTAATCATTCCACGTCCCAATCTCTTGATGTATTAAAATGAGGAATGAGAACAGTCAACCAAGGAGCTCGTAGTACGAAACCGACCGTAGCCCTCGAATCCAGCAAACGATTGCTTTACTAGTAAGCTTAATAAACCATTATAAATAACGGGATCCAGGAAATTTTTTTAAATACTTATTATTAAAAAGGAATTTTCTTCATAAGAATTTTAAAAAAAAAATTTGAGCTGTAAATTTATAAATTATTTGAATATACTGAATTGAAAACGGTGCACTTTAAGCAGAAATTTGGAGAGGGCCGGTTTCGTATTACGAGCCCATGGCAACGTCCTGGTTCGATACTATGGTAATACCTTGATGTAGAGTTTGATGCTAATAATACTCGGAACCTTGCCGAGCATTCCCGAGATAGCTTCTGACTTCAGATCTCACTACTTGACACCAACTCTTCTCTGGCCTCACACGGGACCTCCTCCGTTTTGTCGTTTCCTTTCCCGCGAAGCCATTTGGTAGATTTTTCTTTTTTTAGACCGAAAGCTACGACATCCTCAGGTGAGGGCTTCCACTTGTATCGATCAGCAAAAAATTTGATAGAACGTCGCTCCATTTCGGCTCTGCTAGGTGCTTTTCGGAGGTTATATCTCGAGGTTTGCAGCAATATCCTGTCGTCGATACGCGGCCCGCCACCCAAATCATAGCAATCCAGCTGCTCATCGAAGTGGAAATAATCGTTTATAGTGTGTGCCTCGATCTTCTTTATGGACAGGTATGCCAATGCCTTATCTAGGAGGAAGTGTGGCACAGTCCGAGAGCGACTGAAATCAGTCAAGCGGGCGTTGAGATAAGCGTCTTGTTTGATATCACCTTGTACGATGCCGATACGGTGAAGCCTCACTAGATCTCGCTTCATGCGCGCGACATCCCCTGGGAGAAATGTGACTTCGGGGTCCATTAGTTCTTTCACAAGCGCCCGAGCGGGATAGGGACTTGGTGGAGCGTCTTCCTCAGGCCACTGCCAAAAATAGTCGTCGTCGATTAAACATCTTTCCTTGATGCCTGCTTTTCTCATTGATTCTGAGTAAGACTCGTCGAGAATAAGGTATCCGTAACACTTGACGGCCAGGTCTTCGTTTCGAGTTTCTTTCAAGCGACCATAAACACGACATTCGCTGAAGAATGGCAGGCATTGATAAGTGATCGTATCCCAGTCGAGGCCAAAATAATCCATTTTGCCGGAACCAGGCATATCTGCACGGTACATATTATCCGAGACAGACATGCGTTTAAACTAGGCATATTAGTTCAGGTCTCACTGCAGCTATAGGAGACTTTACAAGCTTTAACGCAAAGGCTTTGCCGTTCATCTTCACCTTCCAAACAATGGAATGCAGACCTTGACCAAGCTCTTGAATAAACTCGATATGAGGCGTGACGATGCCATCTGGTGACTTGTAAGGTCGCAGCCTGGGTCCTGGTATGGGAGGAAGCTCCATGATCTACAAGATGAAGAAATGGCGATGGTAAGGAGAGGCGTTGTTGAACAAGTCATCATGCATTCTTGTGTGGCGGCTACTAGACATTCTTTGTTGATCTCCTTAATAGCTGAACAAAGCGGTCGCTTTCTGAAACAGGCAAGACTCTGGCACTGTGGAGGGGGTCCTCCTTTGTAGTAAGATAATAAAGAAAAGTATACTCCTTATCGAATTTTTAGCATGTATACATGGTGCATCATGTTGCGGCTGATGAATACAGCCAAACAGATGCGGTGACGTACATGTTTTCAAGATGAGTTGTGAAAGTAGGGATATTCTATATTGATATAAAACAGTCCAAATCAACAGACCCAGCCGACCCTATCCAATGTGTCACGTTGCAGTGCTGTACAGCTCAATAATTATGTAGCACATCCTCCCATATCACTGAGGCTATTGGAAGACTCGGAAAAGTCTTCCTTCCCGTTTCTGATGTTCAAGGCTCCTTCATACCGTTTCTTGTAACTTTGATTAATGTTATACACCTGCATTAGTAGGTACTTGTATTATGCAATATCAATCGATCCACATCCACAACCGCTGCAAAGGCCCCATGAACTGTATGAGGAATGCTGAAAAGTGTCCAATTACGTTTCTAGAAGTATCTGGCCGCCATGAGCCTTGAGCTCATGAGCAGTTCGTTGGATGCCCGAGAGCTTGTTTCGGTACAGGATAGAACTCCCCGGTACTTTGCACCAAGTTATGATATCTTCATCCCTAAAATCTTCGGTCGTGAAGTATTCGTTGTTGTTATACGCTGCAATCAAGGCACAATAAAGTACAAGCTCTGGCGTGAGTGTGCCCGCCGTGTTTGCTGTCCGCCAAGGCAAATGAATTAGTCTGAGGCCTGCTGCTGGGCGTAAGATATTTTCATCAAGATTTCTTCTCCATCTCGTGTTACATGATAGTAGTTCCTTCTCTGTATGTGAAAATCCGCATGGGATGTTTGCCCATATGCAGTAGGTGCTGATCTGAGTCATTCCATTCGAGATGATATGGGTTATCGACTCTCATATTACGGCTCATCTTGGTGGTAAGACTTCGGTAAGGCTTTGGTATTGAGCTTACAGTGAAATTCACCGCGTGTTTGACTGTATCCATTGTAGACTTATCGACAAGAGCCACAACGTCGCTTTCCTCTTTAAGCGTGTCAGTATCCAAACGCCCCGGAACCAGTTCTTCCGGAGCTTTCTTCAGTAAATACGGCCCAAACGCAAGGATTACATCTTCGTAAGTGAATCCTCTCCATTCACCCATCTCTTCGGTCAAGGCGTAGCTCGGATTGTAGGTATTGGTCGATGGCTTTAACCCCGACGAGTCCGGCTCGCTTCGAGGTGCTGTCAAAACGTCCAAAATGGTTTGCCGGGCTGGCACTTTTGCATTTTAGGGGGCCATTGCTGATATATTGAATGTATTCGATCTCTAGACTCTGTTGATTCTTCAATACTGCACGAAGCTTTATCGAACGCTCGTCTGATTTATACTATTCCAGGGTTCGACCATAGCCTTTGAGTGAATCAAAGCGCGTATATAGTCCCTTTCTTCCCCTTGTGATGGCCTATACAGGACAATGGATTTTTCGTATGGTCTAGGCCGCAGCCTCAATCTAGACCGGGCTACAATTAATTAAAAGCGTCTCCCGACAAAAAATGGTTGATCTTACTCGCGAATATTACCAGCACCTTTTTATGCTATTGGTATAGATGAATACAGAAGAGTCCATCTTATTACGAGGAAATTTTGAGAGAGAAACAGCTTATTGCGCCGTTTTTTTTTCCTCAACTAGAAATATAGGACTCGTGGAGGCAAGAATAAAACGAACCAGCCCACCACATCAATATTTCAGATAATATGTAATAATATTTTGATAATAACCAGGCACCTGAGATTAAACATTGTTTTTGCGCCTTGATCGAGTGATCTATATTTCCTCCCGTAACGTGACGCCGTGACTGGCACACGTGGATAGTGGCCGGAGTAATTAGAACCTGTCTATAATATAATATACATCGCCTGAATGGGACGCATCCACTTAAAGATGACCACCAAAATCGAGAGAAAGAAGAAAGAAATTGGATCCAAGCCATCCCCAGCTCTCCATTTAGTAGAAAATGTTTCTGCCCGATATAGAACCTCCAATTCGTCTGAACTCCGGCCCCATGTCAGCCCTATACAAACCACATGGAATAGCGTGGGGCCATTGCGCATTTGCATTACAATGGTCAAAAGCAAGGGTCCACTTGCAAGACATTCATTCGGGACTCAACTTTCCCCGAACCCTTTCTAAATCACAATCTGAGCAATTTGGAAAAGGCGTAGGCAAAACAGCCCGACGCCGACGAGACTGGACCGAGCTCGGTGGGTGTTTGCAGGTAATGGAAATTTCGTATTTTGCCTGCTCTGTACTAGTGCCGCCCTACCCTGTGCTGGACATAATGGGAGTCTCTTAGTAACAAGGCAAACCAATCTCCCCATCTAGTCTCAACAGTCGCCTCCCATGGCTCTCGTAGACTACGACAGCGACTCCGAGTCGTCTTCGTCGCCGTCGTCTGTAGCCTCGGACCACAGCCGGAAAGAGAAAGCAGGGCGCGACCCCGGCCCGGCGTCAAAGCGGCAAAAGAAGCTGTCCGACGCCCCGTCTTCGTCTTCCAAGAAGGGCGACCTGCCGCCTCTCCCCTCGGCCTTTCACGATCTCTACGCTTCAACGGTGCGTCTGAGTAATACAGACGACCCGTCGCTGCACCAGGGCCGTCGGCGCCAGATCCCGCATATTGTAGGCAACTGGCCGAGCCACCTGTACATTGAGTGGCACCCGTCGGGGCCCGAGCACAAGGCGCTGAGCTCGCTGCTCGCGACGCTTTCTTCGCGGTTAGAGAGCAATGGTGCTGGTGCGGAGGCCATCAAGATCCACGGCTTCCTAACATCGGACCTGGGGGCGCCCTTACCGCTGCACATCTCGCTCTCGCGGCCGCTTTCGCTGCCCACGGCCCGCAAGGACGATTTCCTGGAGCGAGTCCGGGACGCCGTCTCGAGGTCCGGGGTCCGGGCGTTTGAGCTCGCACCCGATGGGTTGGAGTGGCATCGGACACACGAGAGCGCGCGGAGTTTTCTCGTCTTGCGGGTACGGTCTTGCTCTTCGACGGCCACGTCATTGTCAACATCAACACTGGGAGAAAACAATGCTCGAGAGAATGCCGACAAGACGCGGCAGAAGAACATGGAGCTCGGCACGCTTCTTCGGCATTGCAATATGCTGTGCAAGTCCTTTGACCAGCCGGAACTATATGCTTTCAAGCCGACCGAAGATCAAGGTCCGGCCCGAGACGTGGGTGATGCGTTCCACGTGTCTGTGGCATGGTCATTCTCAGAGCCGACCAATGAGCTCAAGCGAGTGACGCAGGATGTATTTCAAACGATCCAACACGGAAAAGCCATGAAAGAGTTGAGAATCAGGGTCGACGGGATCAAGGCCAAGATTGGGAATACAATCACACACTTACCACTGGCTGTCGCTGGGAACGGCGATAGCAAAGGTCCTCGAAAAAGACGAGCGCTGTTTCATGCTGAATAATAAATCATAGCACACTCCTGGCGTAAAGAGAGAACCCATGATCAGGCCATCGCAGGCGTTGGGAAAATGTGCACCACAATCACAAGGTTTCAATTTGAATCTGACACAATGACTTGACGAGCATCTAATGAATTATGAGATTGTCTAGGACAAAGGCTCGCCGAGTCCAAATCAGTTGACGAGCCTGTCATCTATACATGTAATATGCAAATCTCGCATCTGTCGAGAAGTCTGAAATAGCAATTTAATAAACCACTTGCTACCACCTCAACACGAGTGTTGGAACAAAATCAACCTGCCATGAAAACGCCGGGGCCATGCTTCAGATGATACAATGCTTGTTTGTGATCGTTCATGACTATGAATGCCGAAAAAATGATGCAATGAGCTCTGCAAACCAAAACCTTGGATCACGAGATGTATGAATTGCCATAATCTATGGCTTGGGCACTTTTTAAAATCCAAGGCAAGGGGTTCATCCGCCTCCCATTTGCCTTGGTCTGTTGGTAGTTTCATAGCTCTCGCTCACGGCCGGGCGCTTGCGGCTGAGCCACGTTCCCACCCACAATGTCTTGAAGGTCAGGCCAAATGAAATATGGTTCTCGAGGTGGCAGGTACAATCCGACATAGTATCTGTACGCTCGATCGGCTTCGTATAGAAAGGAATACCAGCTGAAGACGATTAGTCATGGAGCGGGTCTTTGAGTTTACTTGAGGACGACTTACCAAAACTTTGGAAGGAACACAAAAGAGGACATGACATATTTGAAGACTGCCATGACCCGCGTGTACTCATCCATGACGCTGTCCCCGAGAGATCCCTGCTGCTTGGGTTTTCTGGTCTGGCGAGAACCCGGAGAAGCAGTAGCATCATAGCCAGCCCATTCATCTGGGTTTGTTTCAGTTGCCTCTTTCGCAGCTTTCTTGGGCTGCGTGTTGGATTGAACCTCGTCAAGCTTGACGGCATGAGGTTTCTTGGCACGATCAGGTATGGTATCTGGCTTGGCTGCCTGTTCGATATGCTTCTCGGCAGCAGTCTTGGCCTCTAGCATTTCTCGGAATTTCGTAATGGCGTTGACGGAACTGCTCAAACGGCCGTACAAGTTGAATAGTGCTACGAGCTCCGTTCTCGACAAGACAGGAATTTCGCCACTTTGATTATCGAATTCGAAAAGGACCTTGAGAGCACTTCCATAACCATTGACTTGGAGTTTGCCCCAAAGTCGGCATTTGTCGCAAGACACGCAGTCCATGATCCGGCTAATGTTGCGGAAGTTGTCCTTGAATTCCTGCTTCAGACTGGGCCCTTCGCCATTCTTGAACATTAGACTCTCGTCAAAGATCTCTGGCTGCTTGAGAGCGGCTTGTACCACGGCGGCAACCTTGGCTTTCGTCGCATTGTCCTGAGATGGATCGCCTGTGCAGAAGGTATAGTCCTCCAGATAGGGACCGATCTTACTGATGGCGCGTGTGATTAAGGCGTAGTTAAAGTACAGATTCGAGATGCGCTCAGGGTGAGTATGGATTCGATCCTCATAACACTGCAAGTTGTGTTGCCACTCGCCACTTGTCTGGTTTAGATAATCCCAGCAAATGTGGGTGCTGATGCTGGCGTGCATGCCCGAGACAACACGGAAGAAGACGCGCTTCTCCAGACATTCATCCTCCACGGTGGTCATTGGTGCAAGCGAGCTCTCGGTCTGCGTCAAGGCCTGCTGCCTGCCAACATTCTGCAGCACTGCTCTAAAGTCTTGCGCAGCAGGTCCCATGGAATTGGAGGAAGACATGCCCAACCCAGCAGATTCAGGAAACGAGGCCTTGTTGAAGCAATTTTCTCGATAGATGGCGTCCCAAACCATCTTTGCGCTCTCGCCGCCATAGCCTGTGAAGCGCTCCGGGTTCTGCACCAGGGATACATAGACACCCTTGGCGCCTGCGCTCTCGTCTTCGGGAACGCAGTAGTCACGCTCGTCGCACTCGTCGTCATACTCGACCACACAGCTCTCCCCTACGTCCTCGCCGAGAGAGCCCTGAAGGGGTCTCTGGGGGCGCTCCTTTTGTGCCTTCTTGCCCGGATGCTCAGCCTTGGGTCCTTGGAGCTTACTCAGCTCGTCGGCGCGCCATGCTAGGGGGATATCCTTCTCGTCGTCGATGGTACTAACGGCACATGCGTAGTTGCCACATATGCCATTGTCGTCATTCCAGAATGGGCAAGTCTTGCTATATAGAGGAAGGCGATAATGGGAAAAGAAGTCGGTATTCCGAATGAGGTCGTCAATCGTGGGCTTGACTCGAGTATTGAGCTCCTCTAGATTGGAGTACGTAACACAGGCATCGCTGATTATGCTGCCGGGTGTTATCTGGCCGGGGATCGAGTTAGAAATATGACAATTGGAACGAGAGGAAGAGAAAGAATCAAGACCTGATGCCACCACAAAGACGTGGCAGAGCAGGGTAAGGAAGTAGTATGCCAAAAGGTTCATAATGGTGATCGTACCGAGCAGGCGTCCTCGTGAGACCTTGAAGCTTCATTGCTGCATGCTACAGGACCGTTCCAGAGTGAGAACAAGGTCAGGTAGAAGAGCTTTGCTGCTGATCGCATCGTAGCAGACAGCGTAGACCATGCAGGTCTGGTAGGGTGCAGCGGGTATTATATCGGATCGCGGGATAGGGCAGGTAAGCAGGTAGGATGCGAACAAAGATGCCGGATTGGTGGCACACGGCCAGCGGTAAGCGTGTCCTCAAGGGAATCAAAGAACCTTGTCACAGGCGACGGGGATGTGACAGCAGGATGAAACGAGAGCCGAGTACGTAGAGAACGAGGGATGCTAATGTAGGATTGATCGACGTGGTGGAGGGTCAAAGCTACCAAACATCCAGTAACGGTAGAGTGGAAAGAAGAAAGAATGTAGTATAGTTCGGGAGCTTTTCCGTGCCTGGAATGGGAAAGCAGCACCGCTTCTTTTATTAAATTGAGGACGCCTATGGATGCTACGGGCTGGAACCGGGTGAATGCATGCACCTTGACTGAAGGCGAGTTAGAATCTGAAAGAACAAGCTTAAATCTGGGGAGGTTGCAGTGGGTTTGTCCCGAATTGGGGGGGCCATGGGGGTTATAGTGGATGAGATTGCTGATCCTCAACGTGTTCTCTTCTCTTTTTTTACTTGTCTACAAGCTCGACACTACGGTACGGTACCGTCTGCCGTGCATATTACAAAGAAAACATCCAACGACTTCCAAGGGGTCCAGGTTCCTGTTGATTGATTGGTGTGACATGGTTCGATCCATGGTCCGATCATCAATCCTATTCAGGCAACTCGTCCCAAGCTGACTTTCACCAGTGGCCATGCCATGCACAGTAGGATGACTCGAGTAGCCCATAGGCTCGAGTTATGTTTACTGCAATGTGGCCAAAATGCCAGTTTCCAACATCTGATGATTACAAACTAGCATGACTTTCTCTCTCTTTCGTTTTGTTTGCCTCCAACTGCTCTAAAAATATTTTTCTTGTTGGCGCCCATTCACATACGTCATAAGGAGACAGAAACTCATTTTATGTTCATGTTGCTAGGGATCCATGGATGTTTGAAATAGAATACCTACTCACTATCCAGCAGAAGAAATCAAAGCCGTTTTCGTTGTAAACTTTATTATATTTCGAACTCTTTTACCCCGAGGTTGATCAGCCCCACCATGTTTACTAATTAAGTGAGTGCAGCATTTCAGACATTCCACATTTGTTGGCTACATATATTTCGTTTAGGTGGTTTGCGCTCAAGCTACCCGTTACTCTGTACATAATGTAGCCCGACTTCGTATATATGTATGCAACAGGTGCATGCACACGCAGATGCTACCCCTGTCGCAACGCTTTTTACTTTTACGCCCCATGTATTTCATTATATCGCCTACATGTTGTTGACACCTGCTCTACGCACATTATTATCGTGGTGCTACGACAATGCATAGATGAGGATATGTCCATCTACTAACCACCAAGATATGAAATTGCTGGTTACCAGAGTGTTATCAAGTATCAAGCAGCAGAATGTTCCACGTGATCAACAGTCTATTGGATCATATTGTAATGCAATTTCTTCATATTATGTCGCAATTCACTTTCTTCCCTAGATATGCAATGGCATTGACACTACTCGTCCCCAGGATTGGTCGAGACCTCTTCGCCCCCGACATCGAGAGTCACTGCGAGGAGTATTTGGGCATAGCGACTGTGAGCCCCTCCAACTGAACGTATCAAAGGTATATCCTGATTACCTGCCACCACTAGAATATCACGCCCCTCCATCCTGTCTTGTACGACGCTGCCAGTGGATTGCCCCTTTTGATGCTTGTCAGAGACCATCCGTGGTCCATCGATCGCCCCACTTCTCTATGATCATAGAGATGGCCTGCCCCTTTTCGACCGAGATCAGGCGGAAGAGTCGGCCCTCCTTAGGGTCATGACTGATCGGTCGACATACAGCTCCGGTCTTGGAGAGGAACGCGCCGGGCCGGAGGTTGAAATTGATGCCGATAAATGCACGTGATGAGAAAACAAGCCGTAAAATCGTCTCGAAGCATTATGATACTCGTACAAAATGCAAATCGCTATGCAGAAGTCGCGTAGTCGGAGTGGTGACATGGCCTATAGTTGTTGGCCACGGGTGGCACTTTGTGCCAGTCGAAGGACTCTAATCACTGAGGGGGCTGGTAGTTGAGTGGTCGCCTATGCACATGTCAACCCTCTGTAATCCTCCGACTTTGGAAATCGACTTACTTGAACAGGAGAATATGTGGCTCAGGTTCATGGACTTCGTAATGCTCCCAGCCCAGACTCTGGAAGCATGATTAGCCACCGCCACAAGACCTTCATCTGCGACGCGCTTTGCTTACCTGCGTGATACCGATGCCGCGCCACTCATCCTCCCAGAGCAACTTCAGCGTACCATGTGCAGCATCGTGGTAATCCTTGGGAATAGCCTTGAGCATTGCCTTGGGTAGCTGCACATGTCTGTATTCATACTCGCTGTCGGAGTAGCTGGAGGGGCCGAATCAGAATATGTTTGGGAACTACCAATGACCAGTAGCAAGCGACTTACCGGGCCGAGTAGTGAATGCTATCAATGTATTCCTCCAACCGAGCGCGCTCGTTGTCAGTAAGGGCCCTAGGGCTCTTGTTGCGACGGCTCATGTCGATGTTCATGGGGTTCGGCATTTTGGCGGTTTTCTTGTCTGTGGTTTCTTTTCGCGGTTTAGAAGGTGATTCTACTTGTAAGAAACACGCGATGGGTGCAGAAAGGACGTGTTGTACTTCTGGTCGCAACGATGACTATTGACCAGTAAAGGTAAAGAAGGGAACCTCAGTGGTCAAGGAGGTCAAGCGCAGAAAGGAGCTGGTCGCTGATTGTCAAGTGACGGTGGTAGTGTCCCGCAGTCCAAGTAAACAACGGTTAGGGAGGGGAGGGGTTGTGTCGGTCGGTCGGTCGCGTGGGGTTGTGAAATAATTCGAAGGCGGGCAGATTTGGGCCTTTTTGGGAGACCGAGGACGATGAGGCGCGGGTTGTTGATAGCCACACTCTTAGCTTTCCACCCAATGAAACAAGCCTAGTTGAGATGCGCCGGAACGACTTTAGAAAAATGCGAAAAAGGCAATTATCATAGAGCAGGCACGACTTAGCTAGAATGAACTGCAAGAAGTGAAGAAGGATATTGAGAAGAGCGCCGGTGGTCGGTTTCACTGCTAGTACGGATTAGCAGTAGTAGTATTGAAATGATTGCATTACGGATGCCCAGAGGTCGGATTAAAAACCCTTAAATTACGCGGGGAATAAAATTACTTTATTAATTATTATTAAATATTAGAAAACTTATATTTAATTATTATAATTTTAACAAAAGAGAGAAAAAAGAGAAAAAAATAATAAATAAATTATTATAATTAAAAAAGCGTAAATTTGTAAGGTTAAAATCGGGGGTTTTAATAATTTGCCCTTTTATGCAAAGCGGGCGTCTCTCCGGTCAGCCACACCAGACTCCAGTGACTTCCCTTAAAAAAAATGAAATAGCGGGGCGGGAATTTTTGCGCCTCAGCTAGCAACCCACTGTAATGCAATAAGCCCAACAACGAGTTAAGCCTGCAGCCACCAACAAGCAAATTTATTGCTGCAATTCTGAGCCAATACATGTGCACTTATTGAGGCGTGCTTGTTGGCCTTTTGCGCTGCGCTGTCGGTAGGAGGAAGTCCGCCAACCCAGTAGCGACAACCTTCACACTCGTTGCAGTGCGTGCATCTTCAATTCGAATCTTTCCTTGACCCATTGAATCCACACCACTTACAACGAGCCGCAAGTATTTGCGCCCGATCTAAAATCCGCGACCAAGACCCCAGCCATCCCAATCCCGGCGCTTTCGCCCACCCGTCCGCCCGCTCCTTGGAGGCACTTGGTGGTAGGTCGTCGCAAAAGAGCTCCTACCGCGTGCAAATCGCGTCGTCGTCGCAGCCCGCAGCCGCATCCAACATCATCCAACACCGACCGCAGCGCACTCGAGTCCACACGCAATTGTGCGTGCATCCGCTATTGATAAAGGAAGCATCCTCTTCCGCCAGCTGCAGGCTGCCTTGCACTGCGTTTGCACCACTTAAAGATGGAGAATAAGCGAAAGTCGAGCATTGCTAATGGCGACAATGTGCCTGGCACTCCGGATCGCGCCGCAAAGCGTCGGAGACTTGAAGAGGTACGACCTTATTTTATATGCCACGAACCAAGAAGCAACCACTTTGGCCGTATTATAGTAGACTGTTCATCCGCGGGATTGCCTTGCCATTGCAGCAACAGCAAAGCGAGCCTGGGACGTCAAGGATCTAAAAGTTGTGGTAGTGGGCTGCATCAGTACCAAATCTTGATCCATCATAATACTCCTTAGCTCGTAGAAGCCCGTCGCGAACCCCGATTATAGTCATTATCAACCTACTTATAGTCGAACTTGGCTAACTTCAAGACAGGAATTCGGCGATTTATCCAAAGGAGAGTCAGCAGAATCTACCACAGCTTATGGACTGAACATGCTCGAGACCATTCGTGCTACTACGGATAAAAAGTAAGTCAGTCGTAAATTCTTTCAACGCATTTGATCGCCGCTGATACCCTCTTTCTCTCCTCGGCTCCAGTGGTCGTGCAGTTGCTCCTATATTCGAAAAGCTCCCTAGCAAAACGTCAGACCCAGACTACTACAAGAAAGTCCGACTACCATTGTCCCTCGAGTTACTCGAGAAGAAGCTCAAGAACCATGGATACCCCAACCTATCGACACTGGAAAGTGACTTTAAACGTCTCGTACAGAATGCCAAGGAGATCAACCCGCGCACGTCGGAGGTCTTCAATGATGCCGAGCGCATCCGTAAAGCAGTCAGCAATTTGATGGTCAAGACAAATCCTGCGTACAAGGCCGGAAACTATCAGGCTGTACCTACACCTCTTCCACCTAGCCCCGGCAAGGAAGGCGGTGGTGATGAGGAGGAAGAAGAGGACGAGGAGGAGGAAGAACAAGAAGAAGAAGATGCTCCTGGCGAGGAAGAAGACGTGGATATGTCCGACGCAAAGGCTGAAGCTGAAGAGGAGAGGGAGGAGGAGGAGGAAGAAGAAGAAGAAGATGATGATGAAGAGGTTGAGCCAGAGCCAACGCCCGTCAAGCGGGGCCGAAGAGCAGGGCGTCTTTCACGAAGTGCAGCAGCTCCGACACCCAAAGCATCGCGATCGTCATCAGCACAGGTCATTGACCAGGTGGGCTTCAAGGGACTGACTTTCCAGCAAGCTCAGGAAAAGATCATCGCAGATACAATGCAAAAGACGGATCAAGAGTCAGTTTATTGCATGAAGCCATTATTGACCGTTCATGAGCTAATCCTGAGAGTAGTGATTATCTTTATTTCCAACCCTTCATCAATCTGCCTCCTCGCAGTCTCAAAGACTATTATGAGATCATTGCAGAGCCGCTTTCGCTAAAGGGCCTCCAGAAGCAGGTCCGCGGGCAGCGTGGTAGGAACGACGCTACCGGCGTAAGCGACTTCAAGAGTTGGTCACAGTTTGAGGATCAGGCCAGCCTCTTGTGGAAGAATGCTTATCACTACAATGAGGATGGAAGCGAGATTTCTGAACTAGCCAAGGAACTTGAGGTAAGGCATAAACATCTCGCACAACATGTTGCCAGTATTTGCTAATACGGAACAAAGACATATTTCAAAGGGTTACTCAAGGAGGCAAAGCAACATGTTCCAGAGCCCCCGCAGCCAAAGATCAAGCTCAAGGTCCCTCAGAACACGCAGACACCTTCACATTCAAAGAAGATCACAATTCATGTTGCTGGAGGCAAGGATAGCGCAACTGGATCACCGGCTCCGGCAACAGCTACTCCGACAGAAGGTGAGACGACTCGTACCGGAACTCCAGTGGCACGAAACCCGTTCAGCGGGCCCGCTGCTGCCAACCATAGCCAACTGGACAAGACCCGGAGCATGTCCGCATCGGCAGTTCCGCCCAGTCCCTCCGTCGCCGGTGTCGTCAAGCCTGAGGATGCTACCCGTCAATCCCCTGCAATACTGCCACCCGGTCCTGCCATGATCACGCAGCAACAATTTGCGCCTGTGGTGCAGCCGGTTCCGAATGGCGTCGTTGCACCCCCGGCCCCGCCGCCGCCCCCACCGAAGCTCACTCCCGCCGAAATCCTTGAAGGTCAGAAATACCGACCACACGCAATCAGTAAGTTCTTGTACCTTTGCCACATGAAACTTTGGAATATGTTCTAATATTCGATCAGAGCCGTGCGAAACCCTGATCAACCGCTTTACCATCAAGTCGCATCCGGCGCTTGCCGTGGATAACCCTCTGGACATCACTATTGCTGGAAGCACTACTGAGATGGTGCAAGAAGTCATCATGAACTGCCCTTCAACATACTTTCGCCTGCAACTTCAGCCCCATGTTGCACAATTCTTGGAAGAACAGCAGCGCGAGTGGAGGCTCAATGTCACTCACAATTATCAGCGCTTGTACCCATCGCACCATCCGCCAACCGACAAGCGCCATTTACCTGTCTTCGAGGTGACGCTACACTATGGAGTGAATCGCTTCGAGGTGTCTCTTCTAGCAGCCCGGCCCAAGGGAGACAGAGGCTCTGATGATCTAGACATGGACTTGGAGAAGATCGTCGTACACTTCAACCTGCTCAAGCATCAGTAAATGGTTCATTGTTGCCACGAGACCATACCTTTCTGGGGACTTGAACTTATAAGTTTGTATTTGATGCCTCAGATCGACTATCGCGACCACACAAGAGTCGGGGCAGAAGTCTATGGCTTGCTCATAGCGTGGTAGGCGTTAGTCATTGCTATCTTTTGGGTGTTGTTGCTTGTATGTTATAAAAGTTATTGCTCGGCCAATATGCACCGGCGGTTATGTATTTTTATGATATATTGGCCGAGCCAAGTAATAGCTGCACATCAGACAGTATTCTTAATTCCGCAATCAAACAGGTTTACGAGATTCACAAGTTGCACATAATTTCCTCGGACCATTGAATATGATACATATACCATTTCTCATTTAAGGAGAAGCTCAAATTTCTTTTTAAAAGATTTTTCTTGAAAACGTATTTATATAAAAGTAGAAAGAGAAGTAAACGATTAACTGTTATTTCATTCTCTTCCTCTTTTTTTCTTTCCTCTTTGTCTATCTTGCTTTATTTTTCATGCCTAATAATGAAACTGGTTGCATTGAAAACCCGTGGTTTACTTGCTGATTTATGGAGATGCTCGGTTGCCCAATCCGAGCTCTTTTGGCAGCCCGCTCGGTCGACATTAAGTTGATGCGGCATCGGGCGCTTATGCCCGTGAACGGAACAGAGAGCGAGCAAAAAGCGGGCAGAGTCAGGCGGATTTGCCTCCACGAGTCGTCCGGCAAAAGCAGAAAGAAAAAAATATCTATCAAAAACTAGACGTGGTCGAGATTGCGGGTTTGCTGAGCGGCGATTCCCATTTGCAGGGCCCCCCAACTTTGGTAAAGGTCCGCGCACAGCATTGTGCGATCGGGCACGTACCTTCCTACCCACGCGGGCCAAGCGGGCAGCAGAAGCATTGGATTTCTGAGAGACCCTGACAACCCCGAGGCCACTAGTCTCAATCCAGCGCTTCTGAGTGGCTCACACCGCCCTGCCACCAGCCCCACCCGCAGCGAAAATTCGTTCGCAGAAAAAAAAAAGTTGATGGTCCAAAAAATAATTTGGCCTGCCCCCCCTCCATTAAAAACGCCCTCTGAGCCTCAGCACCTTTCTCACCTTCCTTCCTCTCCCGATACGTCCTCAGAGATCTATCACTTAGGCCAAAAACATCAATCAAAATGGCGGAAGAGGTTTACGACGGTGCCATTGGCATTGATTTGGGTATGTTTACCTAGCTATTGCTCTCTCTTGCACCGAAAAAGCGCAGGCCCTTCTGTGGCCCGCATCTCGACTATTCATTCCTGCCTCCCACCACAGACTTTTCGCTGACAACCAATTCCCACAGGTACTACCTACTCTTGCGTTGCTACCTACGAGGGTAACAATGTCGAGATCATTGCCAACGAGCAGGGTAGCTTCACTACCCCCTCTTACGTTTCCTTCAACGAGAAGGAGCGTCTGATCGGTGAGGCCGCCAAGAACCAGGCCGCCATGAACCCCAGAAACACCGTCTTCGATGTCAAGTAAGCCATCAATCAGCTTGACTGCTGTCAAGGCAATGATTGCCATGATTTCAGACGGCTAACAGGAGCTCCACAGGCGACTTATCGGACGTCCCTTCGATGACCCCATCGTCAAGAAGGATATCGAGTCTTGGCCCTTCAAGGTCGTCGAGCAGGGCACCAACCCCATGGTTGAGGTTGAGTACCTTGGCGAGACCAAGACTTTCTCCCCCCAGGAGATCTCCGCCATGGTTCTTACCAAGGTATGTTCATCGTTACTACGACAAATCCCGCATGCAAGCATATATTCTGACACAGCTACACTATACAGATGAAGGAGATTGCCGAGACCAAGCTTGGCAAGAAGGTTGAGAAGGCTGTCATCACCGTCCCTGCCTACTTCAACGACAACCAGAGACAGGTCAGTATTCGTCTTCGGTTCAAATCAATCAATGACTAACACGCATTGTTGAATAGGCCACCAAGGATGCCGGTGCCATTTCTGGCCTCAACGTCCTCCGTATTATCAACGAGCCTACTGCTGCCGCCATTGCCTACGGTCTCGGTGCTGGAAAGTCCGAGAAGGAGCGCAACGTCCTGATCTACGATCTTGGTGGTGGTACCTTCGATGTCTCCCTTCTCAACATCCAGGGTGGTGTCTTCACTGTCAAGGCCACCGCTGGTGACACTCACTTGGGCGGTCAGGACTTTGACAATAATTTGCTTGAGTTTTGCCGCAAAACTTTCTTGCAAAAGTCTAAGAAAGGTCAGAATAACTCTACCACAATTTTCAGTCGATTCCATACTAACAATACTAGACATCTCCGGAGACCCCCGTGCCCTCCGAAGACTCCGAACTGCTTGCGAGCGTGCCAAGCGTACTCTGTCCAGCGGTGCTCAGACCACCATTGAGATTGACAGCTTGGCTGAGGGCGAGGATCTCTTCCTCCAGATCACCCGTGCTCGTTTCGAGGAGTTGAACGCCAAGGCTTTCCAGGGTACTCTGGAGCCTGTTGCCCAGGTCCTCAAGGATGCCGGTTGTGACAAGAAGGCTGTCGACGAGATCGTCCTTGTTGGTGGTTCCACCCGTATCCCCAAGGTCCAGAAGCTCCTTAGCGACTTCTTCGACGGCAAGAAGCTCGAGAAGAGCATCAACCCCGATGAGGCTGTTGCCTACGGTGCCGCCGTCCAGGCCGGTATCCTCTCCGGCAAGGCCACCTCCGAGGACACTGCCGACCTCCTCCTGCTGGATGTCGTTCCCCTGTCTCTCGGTGTCGCCATGGAGGGTAACATCTTCGCCCCCGTCGTCACCCGTGGCCAGACTGTCCCCACCATCAAGAAGCGTACCTTCACCACTGTTGCCGACAACCAGCAGACCGTTCAGTTCCCCGTTTACCAGGGTGAGCGTGTCAACTGCGAGGACAACACCTCCCTGGGAGAGTTCACTCTCGCCCCCATTCCCCCCATGCGTGCCGGTGAGGCCGTCCTTGAGGTCGTCTTCGAGGTCGATGTCAACGGTATCCTGAAGGTCACTGCCACCGAGAAGACCTCGGGCCGCAGCGCCAACATCACCATCTCCAACTCCGTTGGTAAGCTCTCGTCCGCTGAGATCGAGAACATGATCAGCGACGCCGAGAAGTTCAAGAGCTCCGACGATGCTTTCAGCAAGCGTTTCGAGGCCAAGCAGCAGCTCGAGTCCTACATCAGCCGTGTTGAGGAGATCGTCTCTGACCCGACTCTGTCCCTCAAGCTCAAGCGTGGCCAGAAGGAGAAGATCGAGCAGTCTCTCAGCGAGGCCATGGGCCAGCTCGAGATTGAGGACTCCAGCGCTGAGGAGCTGAAGAAGAAGGAGCTTGCTCTCAAGAGACTTGTGACCAAGGCCATGTCCTCGCGATAAGCATCTCAATGACAATTTAATGATTTTCGGCCTTCGGGGAGATTTGGTGGGCCTGGCTGGGCATCTTTGCATACCGGTCATGATATGAGGCTCATCTTCATGAATGATAGACATGGCATTCTGGGGGTTAAAAGGATTTCCCGGCTTGTCTCTCGTCCTGGTAATGAGCGAGACAGCACGAACGAACAAAAAAGTCTTGCAGGGTTCTGGCGTTTACATCCCTTCCGCACGTCATATATTCCTTTTCAGAGTCATCCGGTGGACTCGACTCGTTCGCGCATCCTACTCCAGCGCATCTCGCATTGTAGATTAGGAAAAGAATGAAAGTGACGATTGATAAACAAATACTCTAATCTCCTCTTGATAACTTCTTGTGATGTGAATTCTGCTTGAGTGATTTCCTATGGACCTTTTCCGAAATTCCTATTATGTTATCCTTGTTTAAATACAACTCTTATTGTATATGCCTGATAGCATAGGATAATATACATTATTTCCCTAAATTGAATCTTTATACCATTTTATAAGAGATGTTTTAATTCGTATATTAATTTCGGTTTTATCTTTATCTTTGCTCTTTCCCTCTCCATCTTTTCTCTCTCTTTTTCTTTCCCTTTTCTCTTTTCTCTTTTTTTCGTTCCTTTTTTAACTTTTTTTCCCTCTCTTTTTCTCTTTCAATTTAATCTTGAAAAGGACGTACCAATAACCAGCCATGCTATTTTTCCCCCCTCAAAGTAGATGTGAAGCAGCCTTGATTCTAGTCCATATTGGTGACGCTACTGGGGTTGTCCCAGTGAACATGAAGTCGAGGCGGGCGGGTCCTTGGGAGATCGCCCTCCTTTGGAGACCAGATCTGTCAAGTTTATCGGGGCATATGCAAGCTGCGGGGCTCTAAGTTTGGGACGTTACGTCACGGGTCCGTCTCAACGCGAGAGCTAATGCGGCAGGCAGCTGAAGCTCAGCAGCATTCAGGATTCGATCCCGCCCAAGCTGTTTTAGAGAAAGTCCCGTACAATATGTAGCATTCCCATTCCGCGGAATGTAGAATTTTGCCCTATTTTCTTCTCTCTGTGCTCTCCTCCTTCTCTATCATCACCCGCGCCACCCCGCAGAATCGATCAGTAAATCTGCGCCCGCCCACTGTCGCAGCACAGATCTCCAAAGCCAGCTTTGAGAGCCAAGCTACATAGACGTCCGACGCACACCGCGGTTCACGATTACTGCTTTCCGACAGAGAGACATACACTTACGAGCCGACTACTCCACCGCCATGTCTTCCGCCGTGGTCGGCACCATGGCCAGTGCTGGATATGTCCAGACGAGCCTCATCTGGGTCACCTATGCTGTTGCCGTTGTCTTGGCTCTGTTCGTCGGCGCCCTGGTCACCTTTACCTGGCAGGCCCATCGCGACCGTTCAGCCGTTGTCAGCGCCGTCACCATGATCAGTCTCACTGCACTCCTCGCCACCATCCTGCTATTACCTGTCGATATTGCGCTCGTCTCCTCCACAACTGATACTGCTCTGGGTGTCAAAAAGGACTGGGCAACTTCGACGCGGATTCACAACATTTTAAACACTCTCAGAATTGTATATTATTCCCTCTACAGCTTTGATGCGCTACTGTGTCTGGTTGTGATTCCCTTTTCGTACTTTTGGTACGAGGAGTACGACGAGGTTGAAGAGCAGGAGGGTAACCAGACGTTTGGAAGTCGCCTCTGGGGCGCTTTCAAGTACACAATTGCCTTTATTCTCCTCGTTGTTATTATCTTCTTGATTGGTTTCTTCGTGCCTGCTGCTGGTAATCGAGAGGGAAAGCATCTTGACCTCGACTTTTTCAAGCGCCTCCTCGACGAAAACCATGGAGAAAAGGCTCTTACCTTTGGCATTGGTCTCTTGATCACGCTGGGAACGCTTCTGTACGTGCTATACACTGGCGCTGGTCTGGCACTGCTCCCAGTCTCGTTCATCAAGTCTGCTCCATCCATCTCTGCACCGCAACTGTCGGAGAATACTGCATCACAGCTTGAGCAGAACCGGGAACGACAGAGACAGCTTGAAATGCGCAACGCTGGACGTGCTGATGGAATGCCCCAAAAGGACAGACGTGAGCTGGATGCCCTGGCTCGGGAGGAACGTACTCTTGTTCGCAGGGAGCGTCTTGCCGCTGAGGCTCAGGGTGAGGGCCAGAGTTTCCTCGTCAGGACATGGACCAAGATATGCGCCATCTTCCGACCAATTAAACTCATCGGAGGTATTCTGTTGATTCTCGTTGCTCTGCTGACTTGGGTCTCTATGCTTATCACTGGCATCGACAAGGCTGCCAACTCGGTCTGCAAGCAACACTGCGGCTACATTCTTGCTCATATCAACGTTTTCCAGCCAATCAACTGGATTTTTGTGCAGTCGGCACGCGCGTTCCCCATCGACTATATCCTAATGGCTCTGCTTGTCTTCCTGTTCTTCAGCAGCTCCATTGCTGGCTTGTCCTCGATTGGAATTCGCTTCCTTTGGCTCCGCATCTTCCAGATACGCAAAGGCAGAACCGCTCCTCAGGCTCTTCTCGTGGCAGCTGTACTGCTGGCCCTGATCGTCCTGGGCATCAACTACGCCGTGGTCATGCTTGTTGCGCCGCAGTACGCTGCTTTTGGAACGCAGACGTTTTGCGATCTGCCGCCACGCCATGCTGACGAACAGCCAAACTGCAGCAAGAACCCAGAAGCAGTCAAGCCTTGTTCTGAATGGGTCGACCGCCACTTCAGCACGCAGACTTGCACCCCGACTTTCATGAGTTCTTTCCTCAACCGGATCACATTCAACTGGCCCGTCTTTGGAGCCATTGACTTTTGGGCACAATTTGCGTTCTTGGCCATTTTCTTGATCGTCTTTCTGACAAGCTTGTTCAGAACGCCCAAGCTCAACTTGAGTGAATTTGATGAAGACGCTGAAATTGACGAGGAAGAAGGATTGCTTGCTTCTACCTCGAGGAGGTTCGGTGCAACCTGGCAGGACATTAGAGGCAAGACGGGTGCTTCGAATGGCTCCGGGTCTGGTAACGGGGAGGGCTCTCACAACTAGGCGATGATTCTTATGACAGTTTCATAATAGTGTCTGTGATTGACCTCTCACCAAATGGCGGTTAGAAGGTTGAGCAGAAAGATGCAAACTTGATTCGACAAAGGAAAGACAAATTGCAAATGTATCATTCATGTGGAAAATGCCGAGCAAATATTATATACCCAGGAGCTCAAGGATGGAAGGCATATGGGCTCACAGGCGAGGATTCAGGCAATTGTTGGTCGGCGTACCATGAATTTCTGCTGGACGTTCTGTCATTGGAGTAATACAGACAGACTAGTGATACGATCATGATGACAATATATAAACGGTATCGATCAATCATATGACTGACGGATCTCGGGGAATCTGACCTGTGGGCATTCCATATCTTCTTTTCAGTGAAGTTGTCAGCGAGCGTGTCGACAACTCGGGTCAAGGCAACAATGGGATGTGATTGATGGAGAAATACTAGCCGATGCTCCGATTTATCCACAATTTCTACTTCCTATACTCCCGTTAAACCAATCTACTCATCACCATGAGCAATCATTCTTTTCCGGTGTGGATATTGATGCTATCTACTCTTTTGAGCGTTTCCGTCAAACAAAATTCAACACAAGCCAGTATTAAAGTGCAAAACGAGAAGAGAACTCAAGCTACGCCAAATGTCGACTTTCCAGAACCCAGTCATTAGGGGCTTCAACCCGGATCCAACCATATGCGTGGTTCACGGCAAGGCAACGACGGACTATTATCTCAGCACGAGCACCTTTGAGTACTTTCCTGGTTGCGCCATCTATCACTCTACTGATCTGGTCAACTGGGACCTTATTGGCCATGCCTTGACGCGGAGGAGTCAGGTTGAGATGAGGACTGTGGAACCTGGGTATGCCGCTATACTATTTCCTATAATTAAATATTTCTTTAATAATGTTGGCTTTGGAACTCTACTAAATACTTGAGAGATTACTGTTAAGGAAATTCTTTCATTTTTAGGGAGAGAGAAACGGAGGAAGAAATATCGAAAACGGGCAGGGAAGCCTATACTTGGAATGTTGCACGCAAGACTTCTTAAGAAAATCCGATTGCACGAGAATAAAGTGGCTGACCATATTTAAATCTTGTATAGTGCAGGGAGCTGGGCAAGCACTCTCAGATATAGAGAGGATGAAAAACGGTTCTACCTCGCAACGGGCGTTTTTCAACGATACCGTCCAGCAGCTGATGTAAGTTCTTTACAAAAGATTGAATATGAGATTGACATTGACTTATGTAGGAACGCATTTTCCCTCGTGGGTTCTATATTTGGACGGACAATATCTGGGATTCGGATTCATGGTCTGATCCAATCTACTTTGATAATCCCGGGTTTGATCAAGACGTAGGTTTTCCCTCCCAAGACACTCCTGAGTCCCACCCATCTTCTCACTATCGTATTTCAATGACAAAAAGCCAAGCATGAGTTTAACGATAACAATATGAAACAGCTCTTCTGGAACGAAACCACTTCCAAAGTCTATCTCAGCACAACCACACGTCTCAAGGACCGCCCGCCAGGATCCAAACAAAAGGACTTTGGCATCCACGTGTCGGAGATCGACCTGGCGACGGGCCGCACCCTGACGGCACCGACCGTGATCCGGCGCTCGCCGTACGGCCTCGCCGAGGGCTCGCACCTCTTTCGCCGCGGCGCCTTTTACTACCTGCTCACGGCCGAGGGCGGGACCGAGGCGGGACACCAGGAGTGGATCTTCCGCAGCCGGGCGGATCGTGGCGGCGGCGGTGGTGTCTTTGGGCCCTGGGAGGACCGCGGACAGGCGCTGTGGTATAATGGCCCAACGGAGGAGGTTCAGCGGACGGGCCACGTGGACATGTTTGAGGACGGGGACGGGGAGTGGTGGGCTGTTTTTCTGGGAGTCAGGCCGGTGAGAGTCCAGGATCATAAAGACCAAGGACCGCAAGGCCCGGGTACAGAAGAGTTTCTCGAACCGCAGATGGGACGGGAGACCTTCTTGGTCAAGGTTGACTGGGTGGACGATTGGCCTGTTGTCAATGAGGGCCGCAATATCACGCTGGAAACCAGGGGAAGAGGACAGGTGATACAAGCCTTGGAGCAAGTCAAGTCTGGCGATGTCAAGTGGCGTGCTGATTTAGAAAGAGAGGATCTCGAGTTGGGTTGGTACCAGAAAAGTAAGTACAGCACGCGTGTCACCATTGGCTATTATCTATTAACAATGATATAGATACACCCCTGAAAAAGTGTTATAGCTTGACCGAACGGCCAGGCCATCTTCGACTATACGGAAACTGCTACGATCTGTCCTGGCCCGAGGCACCGGCGATGCTCCTGCGAAAGCAATCGTCCTACACCGAGACGTTCCACGCCAAGCTGCAATTCAGACCAGACCAGACGGGATACGAGGCCGGCGTCGTGCTGTGGTGGAGCCAATATTCCTACGCCAGCATCGGCATCGCGCTCGTGCAGCTGCAGAATGGGCAGCGGGTGAGGACCGTGGTGTGCTGCCAACCGACGACGCTGACAACGACGACCGGAGAGCAGCAGCCCGGCGTGCTACATCGGTCTGCGCCCCTGATCGAGGACCACCTAGACGGCGGCAGTACAGAAGCTGCCGAGGTCTCCGAGGTCCCGGATACAGCAGAGCTCAAGATTGAGGCACGGCCAAGAGAGTATCGCCTGTCCTTGCAGTCTGGAGGCCACAACAGCAAGCCACTCGAGTTTTCTGTGCCAGCGGTAGCCTTGACTACGATGCCACCCGTGGGTGGTGCCTTTTGTGGCACAATGTTTGGGATCTATTCCATTGGCAAGGGTGAACCCGTTCTAGTCCCAGCAGACTTCTCGGGTATCTTCGTACGAGAGGGAGATGGCAGAGCATAGGGCTGCAAGGGAAGAAGGGGAGGGGGCGAGGGAGTGGGATTGGCGAATCACCCCCAAAATGAGTGGGTATAAGAGCCTCAAGTTTCTTTTTTTGACGATAGCCGACCGATCACCTATGCGATGATACGGTTACCTAGTTTGGCCCTCAACATATTACCTGCATGCGACCCTTGTTCTTGGAAATCAGCCAGTAGCGATATTTTGATTGGCTCAGCAGGGTCAATATCGGTAAATGAGGTGCTTAGCAGCCAGAAGTATAGGACTGGCATGCGTAAAGAGGGTATATACGCTCTTTCTGACCGAGAAACTCGAGGGAACATGCATACATTGTTTAGTATTACCAAAGTAGACAGCAGTTCGTCATGCCAAGTTGTTATATGAGGTTTTGAGATTGGAGTTACCATTACATCAGCTTGGTGTGTATTCGCTTGATGCCCGCCATGGCAGGGCCGCTGAGCAAAAGAATCATTAGGGATAGAGTTCAAGAGCGAATACGAATGCCGGTCATACATCACAGGGACAATTCTGCAACATCCGAAACCTGATGTGTTGATAATCATGATTGCCGTTATAAGAAGGCTCACGCAGGGCTTGGCCCATATGTAGCCGACCCTTGGGGGGGTTCCATCGATCCCGTCCCATCCCAGAATGCGGAATGACGAGGCCGCATTTGAGCGGATCTGCAACGGCGTCCCCTCCGGATGGTCCCTGTGTGGCACGATGACGCCGCTCCCTTGTTCAGACGATGAGAGCCTTGTTTGTCACAAGGTGTCCAAAGGGGGGGAATGAGGTCTAGAATTGACCCCTCAGGGGCAAGAATAATTGTCCAAGGGGCCGTTGTCGGAGCTATTCAGCTATGTATACAATTGCCATCATGTAATTCTGGCAAGGGAGTAGAAGCAAGTGACAAACATTGCCTCATCACAACAAGGTCATTGGGACGGGTTGAGGTTTGCTGGTTTGGCTTGGCCAGTCAATGATGACGACTTTGATTTTCACAGACATGATAAAGGAGAGGGTGTAGGACGACATGACGGTGAAAGGGTCATGGCGAAAATGCTACGGCGGTTGCTCATGTTGTGTTTCCTTGAAAATGGAAGATAACAGGCTTCCAAGCAGATAGCTGGTGATGGTGGTGTCGAGGGGCGGCACGAGAAACGAGGAGAAACCGTTGAAACCGAAAGCAGGGTCCCTGCCGAGCGGTTGCATGTTTTCCTCTGGGTCCAGGCCGCCATCGACTTACGCAGTGTGCTGCTTGGACAAGCGGCTGCAATGGCATTCTGTCGATATTGGCATACCTCGACAAATATCGACCAGGGTGGTTGGTTGGCAGGCTGGTTTGGGCCAAAGAGAGAAGAGAACAAGCCCAATCAGGGATGGGATTCGCTGCGGGGGAACCGACCCCAACTATCGACTATACCATGATGCTAGCCTCTATATGCAGTGGGGGAACCAGCACATACAAGACTTTTGTGGACGGGATAGTTGTTGGCGGTACCGGGGAGTATGACATTGGTCAACGGCACAAGACTCGCGCAGGGATGAATATGCAGGAAGAGCCAAAAGAGGGTGTAGTTGATTCAAGATAACGAAGCGTTTCCAGAAGCGGGCTCTGTGGTCGTCGTGTGGTCCAGTCATTCTTGCTTTCTGGGCTGGCTGGCCCACGGACGAGTTACAAGTACGTACGAGTGAGTGAGTGAGTGAGCGAGCGAGCAAGTACACGGAAATAGCAGAAGCAGCATTGTACGGTGGAGCAAGCTTACAAGTGAATAACTATTAGGTAGGTGAAAAGGCAATCTCGTAGCCGAGTGGCTTGAACGTTGCAGGATCCAAGTGCTTGGCATCATATCTCCACATCCGGGATTACCGAAAACGGCAATCCGGGGCTGGTGGCCAGAACTTGTGATGTACTCGTGATTCAACGACACGTCTAGGTAGACGCTGGACCGTGTCAGCCTTGATTAGGGAATTAGCCAAAGCAAATGAGTAACAATCAAGAGAGGCAAACAAGGGTATCATTCACTGCACACCTGTATAATCTCCCATGCTGCCGGATCTGTCACATTTCGAGATTCTAGCCAATAAAGTAGATTCTGACCTCGAAAGAATGACCGGAGTGCTTCCCGAGTGCGTACTTCGAGTTGATACCATATCAAAAGATACTGACCAGGCCACTTACAAACCAGCCATGAGCAACCTTTTTTTCGGGTGTGACGGTGATTGAGGCTAGATCCAGAAGAGAGAAAGACAGAGGGAAAAAAAATAGTTGCCTCATAACCTTGCCTCTATCCTACTAGACTCTGTGCCCCTCTTGCTAGTCAGAACCCTGGGGTCATTTGTCTCCGCATCGAGGATTCTGGGTCTGGCAGTAGGGTAGGTACGGGGGAGGGGCTACGGATCAACGTCTGAGTACCTGGGAAATCACCTTTGTGTCGTCGGTTGATCTGTTCTTTTGTGGTGCCTCTGTTCTCGGATCTGTCAGTCCGAAGTCCATATATGATGTAAAGTTGAGCCCCCGTCACGTAGGAGCTTCAATCCCAACAATTCCACCATTTCACCAGTCACTCGTCAGTGAATAACCACTACTTTCTTGCCAATTGCCTGTCTGTTCTGTGCTTCGAAGCTTCGAATCACACTACTATAATTCTCTATAAGATAAGGCTCGAGTTCACTGTTCTTCTTGCTTTTCCCTTCCCATTATTCCACATACGAAAACACCAAGAACACCAAGAAGCAGCGAGCAACACAGTACACACACCACCATTGCAGACACACCATGACGGCCATCACTCCACAATTCGCTCGAGGAGCTTCCTCTGTCGTTCGATCGGTGCGTCGAGCGCCTCGATTGACATTGGCACAAGGTGCCATTCCTCGATTGTCTGCTGCTGCATCTTGCAGAGCAGGCGCTTCGTCGAGCTACCTCCCCAGGACCTTTTCGTCCTCATCCAGACAGCAGGATCGCGAACCCATCAAAAACAGCCCGAGAGCTCTGTTGCCCGAATTCAGCCTCAAGGACAAGGTCATTATCGTGTCTGGCGGTGCGCAGGGTCTTGGATTGGTTCAGACAGAGGCTTTGCTCGAGGCTGGAGCAGCAGGTTGGTTTAATCTATCCCAGGCATGTCCATTATACTGACAAAATCATCTCAGTACACGTGTTTGACCGCCAGCCTCAGCCAGGCGCTGGAAGCAAATACGAAAAGGTTGCCAAGCGTGCTGTTGGCGAGTTGGAGACCACCCTGACATATCACCAAATTGATGTGCGAACAGGTGTCCAACACATCAATTCGATCACCGAAGAAATTGCGGAGCAGCATGGACACATTGACGGTTTGATCGCTGCGGCTGGCATCCAGCAGGAGACGCCTGCATTGGAGTATACGGCAGAGGACGCAGACAGAATGCTGGGTGTCAATGTGACGGGCGTTTTGATGACGGCACAAGCAGTCGCCAGACAAATGGTCAAGAGAAAGACAGAGGGAAGCCTGGTCTTGATTGCTAGCATGAGCGGAACGATTGCCAACCGTGGACTGATCTGCCCGTAAGTCCTTCCCGAACTCCCGAGAAAGCCATTGACTAACGCAGATCCAGGGTCTATAATGCTTCGAAAGCTGGAGTCATCCAGTTGGCACGCAACCTTGCTTCCGAGTGGGGTGAGCATGGCATCCGCGTCAACACCATCTCTCCTGGATACAGTATGTTTTTACTGTTCCGATTAATGGTTATATGCAAATTATGCTAATATCTGTGTTCAGTCGTCACCGAGATGGTTGAGAAGCTGTTTGTGCAGTATCCTGAGCGCGAAAAGGAGTGGCCAACTCATAACATGCTGAACAAGCTTAGCAAGCCCGAAGACTATCGCGGCGCCGCCGTATTCTTGCTTAGCGATGCCAGCCGATTCATGACTGGGTCAGATCTGCGGATTGATGGCGGTCATGCCGCCTGGTAGGCTGCCAGCTGCTCGAGAGGAGTTGAACGTTGAGAGGCATCAATGTGACCTAGTACAGGATGGGACTGGAGTTTAATGGATTTGACTTTATGGGCATCATTAGTTTCTCATGGGACATCGTTTGTATTTCGCCAAGGCGCACAAAGAGGAGCAACGTACCTGATTCAAAAGCCCGAGTAACGGGCAAAAATTAACTACGATTTATACAAATGTTGTCATTAGCCATGAATTCATATAGGTACGTCGTCCACGAGCGTTTAGTTCAGTGGTGAAATGACACCTCCTGACTCGATTCTGGCCACGACACCGTTCCTCAAGCGCAGCCGCTTCTCGATATCTGTGTTTGGAACGCCCAGTCCCTTCATGACCAGAGCTTGTCTAAGCGTCCCTACGTCGGCAAAGTTGCGCCCAGTGGCCGGGTTCTCCTGCTGCAACTCGATTTGCTCTTCGAGGCGTTGCCGGGCTTGCAAGACAGTGAGGGTCTGGTTCTGAGATGCTACCGGATATCTCGGTCCTTGCGCAGATACACCTTGGGCCGGCGAAGCGGGCGTCGCTATCGATGAGTTGGATAGGGTCGGGTTCGGCGTCGCGACGCCCATTTGTCTCAACCGCTGCGAGAAGTCTGGGCTTGTCATGTGGTCTGGGTCACCGCCATCGGTAGTGATTGCTGTTTCCATGTCAGCCCTAGAATCGATGCATCCGTATTCAAGTCCTACATACCCTCATCTTTTGTTGTGGAAGCTTTTGGCACTCTTGCTGAAGCTGGTGGTGGCGCCGCCGCCCTGGGAGCGGCCGGTCTCGAGGACGGGGGAACAGCAGCGCCTCCTGGTGCTCGAGTAGGGAATTTGCGCGCGGTGGACTGCGCCGTCTTGGAAGCGCCAGAACCCATTATTGTGGGCTATTTCTTATTATTGCGACAGTGACGGGTATGTGAAGTTAATCGTGTGGTTTTGAAATGGGAGAGAAAATGGTGATATCGAATGACGTTCTACTTATTTTTTTCCTCTTGCCGGTTGCTCAATTGCCTTCACGACAGAAGGAGCTTGGGCCCACTAATTATTGTATAGCTTGCTGGGGTACCTAGGTACAAGCGGAATTGTGCCCGTTCAAGAGTGCATATTGTAAGCAGTCAAAATTTGTAGACATGATGTGTATAATTGCTTTTTCTTGTCTTTCATAATTGCAAGCCATGTGACTTGTCTTATAAATTCTGAATCTACGGAATTCCCTCGCTTAAGCACGTTATCCGGACGAGGGAAGAAATATCAACGAGTGTTTTATCATACACACGTTCCACGCAGACCAACTTGTCCTTGAATCAATTGCTTTCCTTCGTATATTTAATATTACTAGTTACGCCATGTAATCGTTTTTGTGCGTAACCATTCCTCCAACCCTGCAGTGGCGTTAAATCTGCCATAACCACTCGACTTGCAGCCGCCGTGAGCAAGCGCAGACTCGTCGTGGATGGTCATGTTGTTGATGTGAACCGCGCCGGACTCGATGCCCTTGGCGAACCTCAAGCCAGTCCTCAGATCCTCGGTAAAGACGGCCGAGGTCAGACCATACTCGGTATCGTTGGCAATGCGCAGAGCCTCTTCCTCGGTCTCGATCTCAATCAAGCTGACAGATGGCCCAAATGACTCTGTCTTGTAAATGTCCATCTCCGAGGTGATGCCGTCAATGACGAGGGGCCGCAGCCGGGTCTTGGACTTTTCCTCGGCATTAAAGTCACCATTCAGCACCTTGCCGCCCTTGTCCACGGCGTCCTGCAGAAGCTTCTTGACCTTGTCGACACCATTGGTGTTGATGAGGACAGGGGCGTCACCGGATGACGAGAAAACTGCATCAATCTTTTCCAAGAATTTCTTCTTGAATTCCTGGCTGATCTTCTTGTGGACCAGAATCTTTTCCGTGCTCATGCAGATCTGTCCAGAGAACATGAATGCGCCCAGAGTGCACTGCTCAGCGGCGATGTCAAGGTTGGCATCCTCCCAGATGATGGCCGGGGCCTTGCCGCCCAGCTCCTGGACGACTGGCTTGAGGTACTGGCCTGCAAGCTTGCCAATGATTCTTCCCACAGCAGTAGATCCCGTGAAATTGACCTTTTTGACTTCGGGGTGTGCAATCAGGGCTGTCGTGACTTCGGCAGCGTGAGCAGGGTCCGTGGAGATGAAGTTGAGCACACCGTCGGGAAGACCAGCCTCCCTAAAGACATCCGTAATGGCCCAGAACACTCTTGGCGATAGCTCGGAGCCCTTGAAGACGACCGTGTTGCCTGCAGCGAGGGGGAAGAGCACCGAGCGGGTACCCAGAATGTATGGCGCATTCCAGGGAGCAATGGCCAGGACCACACCGTAGGGCTCCTTGACGACCATGGCTGAAACATTTGGGTCCGCCAGCGTCGGGATGGTTCCAGTGATGGAGCTGATGCGACCAGCGACATCCTTGACAATGTCAATGGTGGTGTCAATGTTGAAAGCAGCCCAGCCCGGTGCCGCGGCCACTGCCTCCTGCATATACGGCTTGAGCTCCTCGCGCCGCTTATCAAAGATCTCGGCGGCCTTGAGGATGATATCGCGGCGCTGGATCGGCGTTGTGGCCTTCCATTTCGGCAGTGCCTTTGCAGCTGCGTCCACGGCGTCGCGCACCTCGGTCTCGGTGGCTATACCGCACTGGTGCAGCACCTTGCCCGTGTCGGGTGACACAACGTCAAACGTCTTTTCGGGGCGGCGCTCTTGGCCATTGATAACAAACGGGACAGTGTAGGACGACATGCTTGGCGATCAACTACCACAAACAGTATTTGCACCTGGGTAGTGATGAAAGCTTGTGGTGTGTGTATGTGTTTGTGTGTGTGGAAAAGAAGGAAAATGGGACGTCCTTGAAAGGGTTTCCTCGTTCTTCAGGTCTATCTCACTCGTACTAAATTATATATCTCCACTGAACACGGATAGTGTACACCAGGATCCGATACCTTGAGACGGAGGAAAAAGCGATACGTAATATATCCCTACTTTGACTGCCCCTCTCTTCTTGGGTTTGCCCGCCCGCTTCTTCCCAATCCTTCATCTGCGATACTCGTCTCCACCGGGAAATAGCTGCCCCGCAAATCCGCGGGGGAGACAAACTCGGAACCCTGGAGATGGTTTAAACTAGGTTGCACCGGTATGTGGAGGGCCGGCAGTCTAAGTCCTAACTTTTAGCCTTTGTGTTTTGCTCCAGCCAAGGCCTAGAGTGGCCGGGTAGTCAGTCGTGTAGGAACAAAAGAGAAAGGCCCGCGGAACTGGCTCGAATATTAGAAGGTGTCTTGTCTTTGCTGATTTGCTCACACCCTCACACCCAATTATAAATGCTTACACTCCACCATTTATCTTTCTCTGCCAATTTTCATCAGCCAATGTAGTATAAACAAAACTATATGCTAAAGTATGCGTAAGTCAGATTATGGCTCGCCAACTATGTTTTACTTTGTTACGTCAGCATATGGTTGGTGCTTGGCAGCTAGAGATCAGCAATAATAGGTAGAGAACCTTGCCTTGACCTACATATTTCCATATATCCGTTCTCCTTTCACTTATCTCCTTATATCCGCCTTGTTTCAAGTCTTTCTTGGCCAGCTTCGTCGTTGTTCCTTGGATGATCCAAAAGGGAAAGTATGTAAATGGATAAAGTGACTTGTACTTCGTATGCAAGACCCCAGGTGTGAAGATGTCGCTTTGGGTTTAGCATCGATTCCGAGATCAATTCCTGTTACTTGATTTTGCCAAGTGGCATCCAACGTCAAGAGATCATTGAGTGGACGAGCCCAAATATTATGTCGTTCACTTTAGTCCCTATCCGGATTCGATCAGGTTGTTGTCCTGCAGCTGGGTTGGGAATCTCTCTTTCAAGGCTTATCGGACCATAAGGACGTCTATGGATGTGGCTGATTTCAAGGCTGCTCGTCCAAAGTTCGGCTAAGTTAAAGTGTCCCTGTCCAAGAAAGTGGTGACTACTCCTCCACTAGATGTTGACTGCCTTCAAATAGAGGGATGGTCTAGGGTAAATGTATGCAGCTCTCTTGGATTCCCACTATAGCTGGAGGATTCATCATTATTCCCTTTAGGACATCCCTTCATCTGCGTCCTCAGACGTCCAATAGCTTCAAGTATAAACCCGAGGACTATTCCATTACAATTAGGACAAAAGATATAAAAGAATTTCTTCTCAAATCCGAAATACGGCTTGCTTATTGCACGATATTAACAGTCTAACTTGCTTTAGCGGACGTGCCACGTTTATATATTTGCTCGGCTCCCTTTAATATAATTTATTTTATATCTAAAGTGTCCGATATAATATAAAGAAAATTTATTATAATTTTTTAGAAAAGAAAAAAAGAGAGAGAAAAAAGAAAAAAGAGGGAAAAAAGAATTTTAAAATCATAAAGGAGTTCCAACCTATTTTTAAATAAAAAAAAAATCACAAAAGGTTCCTTAGGAAAAACTTCCCAGGACCAGACTCTCCCAGGACCAGACTTTCCCAGGATCAGAGTCTCTTAAGGAAAGGATCCCTATAACGAGACGCTCCTGAGACTAGACCTCCCAAGGACAAACCTTCCTGAAGATTAGCTTCCCAGGAATAACGCTTTCCGGAGATAGACTTCCTAATCATCCTATGAATAGAGGCTTCCTAAGGACAGAGTTTCTTAAGGGTAGGGCTTCCTAAGAATCGAGTATCCCTAAGACAAAGCTTCCCAGGGAAAAAGGCGAACTCAAAACGCAGCAACCTAAGGATAATAATTATCCGAGAAGATTCTGCATTATTTGAAATTGATTTATAGCTGAAAACACATATATCACCCAAGACTTTGTGCTTACGCTTCTGTCCGTCCCCGACCCAGTGACAAGGATCAGTTTGTCGCGCCGTGAAAATTGTTCCATTTGTGTCTCTCTGGGCTATTGTTTGCATATAATGCACGGGACATTTACGAGTGGATGACATGACGTTCCAACAGCGGCAACTTCGCTCTCATGATTGTGTGATGACTACAGTAAGTGCGTGCTTGCTTGGCTGGGCCAGATTGAAAGAAGAGTGGCAAAATATACGGCAGGTATGATAATCACCGCGCTCCTTCTCGTCAACTACCATGCCATTCGGCTTTTACTCATTTGGATAAGGGGACCGCTCTTCCTCTTTCTTTTCCTCTACTTCTCGTTCCCCCCCCCC